AAGAAAATATGATCATATTACCCCAATTTTACAGTCTCTGCACTGGCTACCTATTAAGTTCCGTATCAGTTACAAAATATTATTACTTGCCTATAAGGCCCTTAATGGGTTAGCTCCTGCGTACCTAACTAGTCTTCTACCACGCTACAATCCATCACGCTCCCTAAGGTCGCAAAACTCTGGACTTTTGGTAGTACCTAGGATAGCAAAGTCCATTAAAGGAGGTAGAGCTTTTTCGCATTTGGCTCCCAAACTCTGGAATAGCCTTCCTGATAACGTTCGGGGTTCAGACACACGCTCTCTGTTTAAATCTAGATTAAAGACACATCTCTTTGGCCAAGCATTCAAATAATGCATCTCATAATCTTGTACTGCAGTTATATCTGATCAAATGATTTGATCAGATATATTTGTTTCTCTGTTTCTGCTGGGATTGACATCCCGTGGTAACTAGGATTTACACAAGCTTCAGTCTGGATCCAGAACACCTGAGAAGAGATGATGCCAACCCCTCAGAGGACCTCAGATGATGCCAACCCTGAAACAACATACAGAACTACCACATTTTGCTATAAGTTTGATTGCATCATATAATAATTGCTGTTAATAGTGTTCATTGTCTGTTTGATTACATGTCATTAACTAACTGCAGGATATTTACTGTACATTTCTGCCATATGGACATCAACTTGAGATGGTCACCACTGATAAGCTACTACTAAATATAATGTAGAAACTTTAATTTTCTGTAAAGCAGCTTTGCAATGATTTACATAGTGAAAAGCGCTATACAAATAAACTTGAATTTGAAATATACACCTGGTTCAGGGTTCTCTGTGGCTTACCAATGACCTTACTCGCTATATTAATGATCCTAGTTAGTGTATTGATATTCTGATGAATGGCACATTTGCAGCTCAAATGAATATTTGATTTTAAAACTTTGTTGCATTACACACTAATCTAAACACACTAACGGTCACTTGTCCTGGGAATGAGGCACGTTCACGTATCGCACAGATGCAGGCCGTTTCATAAATGGCTTCTTTATTTGTGCCGCACTGCTGTTCTTTCTGATCTTTTTCATATTTTTCATCTGTCCTCCCGCAGGTTAGAGCTTATCATCTTTGTTAGTGTGTAACCATGTGATAGTGTTTTTCTCAGTTCCACCTTTATTCTCCACCTCCTTCTCAACACCATCCGTTTGCCCGACATGAAAACAGTACAAAGTATTCCAAGGCCAAGCTTGGCCAGGGTAGATAAATCCCTGCTTTCCCAGGCCGCTTCAAACAACATCCATTCATTCCTCTCCAGAGTCCAGAGCGTTTGTCACGAGACTCGAGCGTTATCCTGCAGTCATGCGTCTGGTGCTGTGTGTCGTCGCCGTTCTGTTCGGGTGTCCTCTCGGAGAGATGTTTGTTCTGCATCCTTCACCTGAGGCATCTGCTGTCAAAGCCAACAGGTAAGAGCTGAGGATTTAAAGATGAACAATGTCATGATGAATGGATCAGGGCATCCTGTTTTAATCACCTGCACTTTTGTTCATTAGGAGGTTTTGGGGAGATCTTTCCAGCTCGTTCACTGTGATCAGTCTATTCACTTGAAGTCTTAGATTTGGTAGAAATTTAGGCTGATATTTTAGTGCTCGTGGCAAAAGTTGAATCAACCTCATTACAATAGCATGCTCTTCTTCCATTTGAGACTCAAATCCTCCTGGCTGGCCTGATCGTGCTTGACTGACCAAAAGAGAATTGCTGGATATCTTCAGAAAGCTTCTCTTGCTCTGGAGTTTGTTTGTTTGCTGGTTTTTATTGTATTAGTTATACTATTTTTGAATTGCTTTTTCTCATGAAAATAGCCTAAGATGCCGACATGGCATTTAATAAAAAAATACTACTACTACTCTCTTGCTCTGGATTTTACTTCAGTGTTTTGTTGTGTACAGGTTGACTGCAAAGACACATGTAAAGTTCTGGAGGTATAAATGAGGGCATCTCTCTTCTCCTCCGGTGTCCCGTTACAGGGTCAAACGCTGAGCCTTCACAAACACGCCAGGCTCCGGTAGCACACGGCTGTGCTTTAAAACATTTGGCTGCCGTTTGACAGGCGCACACACACGAGGTCTGCAGAGGTGTGATGACACTGTGTTTTTTTATTGTTTTTGTAGATGCAGGGGAGAACTGGAAATCAGGAAAATCCTTCTGGAATCTCTAAACCTCCAGCAGGAGCCTCGTGTGTCCGTGTCGAAGATGCATAATTTACGTGAGCAGTGGAAAGCCAGTATGAGAAGCAGCCCCACATCAGCACCAGGTACCTAAACCCCAGAGATCAGGCTCAGGTGAAGACCAGATCAGCCCGGTTTCTGGTGAAGCTGATCTCTTGTCTATTTAGCAGGTAACTCAACGTTTCCCGAGGACTCCAGAAACTCCAGCTGCTGCAAACATTCCTGTCAGGTCTTCATTAAAGGTGAGCGATCAGATGCATCCCGCTACGTTCTCGTTGCTGCAACATTTTTGGTGTTAAAACC